GCATCTTTCCTCTACCCCTATACGTAGATACATGGATGTATATCCACCTCTGCATCCATCCACCTACGTATCCATATCTCTGTGCAACTATGTATTTCTGTTTATAGATACATGGGTCTATGTCCATCTGACCCCTCTATCCATTCTTGTGTCCATCTTTCCGTCTATCCACGTATATATTGATGCATGCATGTATACATACATATATATGAAGAGCGATAGGCATGTATCCATATACGCATGCAGTCTGCCTATCCATGCGTGAATCTATCTATCCATCCGTACAACTGTTGATCCGTACATCTATGTATCTACGTATGTATGCATGTATGAATCTATGCACCCATACAACTATTCATGCATTCATCTATGTATCTATGTATCTACGTATGTACGCGTGCATCAATCTACCCATTCATAAACTATTCTACTATTGATTCATACATCTATCTATGTATCTATGTATGTATGTATGCGCATATGTATCTATCTATCCATCCATACAACTATTGATCCATACATCTATGTATCTGTGTATGTACGCATGTATGTATGTATCTATCCATCCATACAATCATTCATCCATACATCTATCTATGTACGTGTGTAAGTATGTATGTATCTATCTACCCATCATACACCCGTTTATCTGCCATGGCTTATGTATCTGCTCATGTGTAATAGTTTTGTGCATCATGTATGCGCCTGTCAAGCTATCAGCTGTCTTCTGTGTTCCTGTATCTGTCTTCCTATTGGTCTAGCTTATATTTATGTGTCTGTGGACCATCTATTTATGCTTATAACTGGAGCCCATACCTGTGTGTGTGTGTGTGTGTGTGTGTGTGTGTGGTTATGTGTGTCTCTGTTTGCTATTTTTCTATCATCTCCCCGTCAGCCACCTACCCACTGACACCTGTATCCATTCGTCTGTTTATCTGTCTAATGAAGAATATTTGGTCATTGAATCCTGCCATCATGGCTAAGCTAGGGCCCAGGCACATGCTGCAGGACCCAGCATGGCTCAGTTGCTTCAACAGGGTGCGGAGTCACGTGACCCTCAGAGCACCCGCTGAACCGTGGGCAGTTTCAGGCCGATCCCTGGCCTGGCATGATCATCTCCTTATCTCTCTGTTTTGACACCTGAGTAATATTCCATTGCGTAAATGGCACCCGTTTTCATGATCCATTCATCAGCTGATGGACATGTATGCTGTTTCCGTTTCCTGGCTGCTGTGAATACAGCAAGTATGAAGATGTGTGAACAGGTCTCGGTGTAGTAGGGATGCAGAATCATTTAGGAATCAGCCCAGAAGTGATACGTGTGGGATCTTGCGGTAGATCTGTTGCTAGCCTTTGAGGACCCTCCACATCAATGCCCCTCCACTGCGGCTGCTGTGAATAAGTGTTCTCCTTTCCCCGTTTCCTGGCTGCTGTGAATACAGCAAGTATGAAGATGTGTGAACAGGTCTCGGTGTAGTAGGGATGCAGAATCATTTAGGAATCAGCCCAGAAGTGATACGTGTGGGATCTTGCGGTAGATCTGTTGCTAGCCTTTGAGGACCCTCCACATCAATGCCCCTCCACTGCGGCTGCTGTGAATAAGTGTTCTCCTTTCCCCACATCCTCACCAGCACTTGTTGAAGTTTATGGCTGTACAGTATTCCTATTGATGTGTTCCTGTTCGTGGTTGTATAGTATTCCTCTTTGTTTTCTTGGCAGCAGGCTTTCTGGCCTGGCCGGGAGAATTCTTTTCAACCCAGGAGGCCTCGACCTGCTGACTCCAACCTTTAAGTGGAGGTTGGACTCTGCTGGGCTTCAGATAAACACCAGAAAAGGGTCATGTGATAAGGCGTAGCTCTGGTCCTTGGAGCTGTGGGAGCTGGTTTGCATGTTTTGAGTTTTCTACTAAGATTTCTCTGATCAGAAGCAGATTGCACTGACAGAAAATGACCAATTTTCTTCATAAAAGAAAATAAAACAGCCGGGCGTGGTGGCACACTTAATCCCAGCGCTCGGGAGGCAGAGGCAGGCAGATCTCTAATTCAAGGCCAGCCTGGTCTACACAGCGAGTTCCAGGCCAGCTGGGGCTAGAGGGAGACCCTGTCTCAAAAAATATAATAAAACAGGGGTTTAATGCTCCACAGTCCAGTTCAGCTCCGGGTGGAGGAGTTGTTTCAGGGAAAGGTTCACAGAAGTAAATAAATGAATAACGTATAAAATAAACAAACCGGGCGTGGTGCCGCACGCCTTTAGTCCCAGCTCTCGGGAGGCAGAGGCAGGTGGATCTCTGTCAGGCCAGCCTGGTCTACATAGCTTCCAGGCCAGCCAGGGCTGCATAGAGACCCTGTAACAAAAACAGAAGAAAAACAGTGTCACTGGTCATGGGCCCCTACTGAGGGCACCTCCTGCCTATTCCAGGGCAGGCTATTTACCCCATCTAGACCCAGCCTTGAGTGACCTCTCATCCATTCCAATATCGGATTAGTTTTTGATGCATCACCTAATTATTCAATTCTCAGGTCTTAATAAAACGCCAGATAAATAAAACAAAATATAAAGTAACTAAAATAAATAAATGTAAAACAAATAAAATATCGAAAAGCAAAATAAAATATTAAAGTATTAAATAAATAAAATGTAAAATCAATAAATAACATGAAATAATAAAGGACAATAAAATAAAACAGGTTCTCTGACCAAAGTTCAGCGCAGGACTGATTTCTACAGCAAAGTGCTGACCCGTCTTGCTGAGTCAACTCCAGCAGGAGCCACGTGGTGTGGGGGGAGCGGCCACCGTCTTTCTTCCTGACGTAGCTTGGGGCCGGTTGACTGCTCCAGGCAAGTTCCAGTCACGCTGTGCGGGGGTGGGGGAGGGAGGTGGCTCGTCCCCTCCCGTCTATACAGCACGGTCCGGCACCTTCCTCTCCCGCCCTGTGCGGTGCTGTGCACCTGAGTGTGACCACCAGGACTCAGCATCAAGCACCTTCCTCCATCGCTGTGTGGGGTATTGTGCACCTGTGTGTGAGTGATGACCTGGACTCAGCATCAAGCACTTTCCTCCATCGCTGTGTGGGGGTACTGTGCACACGTGTGTGACGACCAGGACCCAGCATCGGGCCACTACCATGAACGTTTGTGTGTCCATGTAGGTGCTGGGAACCGAACCCGGGTACTGTGCACGAGCACCCAGCGCTCTAACCACTGAGTCGTCAAAAACACGGATGCCGGAGCTGACTCATCTTCCTGAAAGAAGTTCAGGAGTGTGTGTTTGAAAGGCCCATGTTCCTGGGTTTTCGCCTGGTTGAGGGAATTTTGACATTGGAAGGATGAGTGCTAGGTGCTGGGGAGCTGGGTGCAGGGTTGGACTCAGACTCAGTTCCCAGCACCCACATGGCAGCGCACAGCCTTCTGCGAGCCCAAGCTCCCAGGCACAGACCCGCCATCAAGAACAATAAACGGGCCTGGTGGCACACAACTTAAATCCCAGCTCCCGGGAGGCAGGATCAGGAGGATGGGGTCCAGCCTGGGCTACAGAGAGAGTTCCAGGCCGTCTGGGGCCGCAGGGGGACCCTCCCTCAATAAGGACCAAAATTCTGCTCCTGCAGCCCCCACCTCCCAAGTGCTGGCACCACCAACACTCTGGGTGGACACAGTGCTGGGCCTGGTCAGGGCTTTGCTCAGGCTAGACCCTAAGACGCACATGGTTGGTCCGGTCCAGAACCTTCCGCTCTGGTCCACTTTCCCAACAACATGAACGTTCCTCCGCACTGATGAGCTAATGGAGCTTCCTAGACACCGTAAGGAGGAGCCGATGAACAGTCATCCACGCCGCTGACCGTTCATTCACATCCATCGATATCGATCAATACCGGTAAGTGCTGACCGGCTTGATCAATAGCCATCGTCCCGATCAATATTCATGAGGACCGCGGACTGCTCCGTGACACAGCGACCAGTGACGACCGGGTGGCGATGAACATACATGATTATTCACAGACACGGCTAATATTCAAATATTCGTTGAGTCTCCTGATGATCAATGGATATTTATTAGGATTTATCAATGTCAATGAACATTCCCTGAAACCCACACATGTTCGTGGCTGCGAATTTTCATTGACCCCGTGACACTCACGACATCACGTTGATATGAAGACTGACGGATTCCAGTGCGTAATTGGTAATTAATAAATACACGTGTTTGGATATCGATTTGGATTTATATCCTTCCGCGAACACCAGCGAACAGAGCCGATCAATCATCGACATCACGCGTATCAATGAGCGTCCCACATGTTCGTGGCTGCGAATTTTCATTGACCCCGTGACACTCACGACATCACGTTGATATGAAGACTGACGGATTCCAGTGCGTAATTGGTAATTAATAAATACACGTGTTTGGATATCGATTTGGATTTATATCCTTCCGCGAACACCAGTGAACAGAGCCGATCAATCATCGACATCACGCATATCAATGAGCGTCTGTGAACACGGTTGATTTTCATGAACATATCGACGAACGTCACAGAGACGAACATCGACAGACACCGTGAGTATTGACGCGCCCACGATGATTGGTCGATATTCACCAGTAATTGACATCCACAAACACCGATCGATCCACACGAACGCTCATTGGCACCGTTACCATTAACGGGCGCCAATCAATATTCGATATTTGTGACCGTTACCCAACATCTATGAATATTAATTGATACAGATGAACACTCGCTGACGTCATTGATATGAACGAGGCCAACGAGTCCTTGGTGGTCACGAGTATTGATGAGCTATGAATATTAATTAATGCCGGAGGATATTAATTGACGCCATCCATATTCAGGACGCCAACAAACACGTACGGAGCGTGCATATTAATGAGTCTACGAATATTAATGAGGTCTGTTTATTAATGAGCGCCCATGAATATTCACGGGGTCCGTAACGCTCCTTGTCATCGGTGAACATTCGTTGATATTATTGATGAATGGCCGATGGATGTGTCCTTTATTCGACCGGGGTCCCTCCACTTCCCTGACTCCGACCTGCCCGCTGCTCCCAAACTGCCTGTGACTAGTTCTCCGAGTATCCGCCCCCACCCCACCCCCCCACCCCCGCCCCAGGGGCTGGAGAGGCCTTGCATGATTCAGGATTGCTGAGGTGCTCCGTGTTCAGTTGACCAAGTGCTTAATGTTTAGTGGACCATGTGTCACGAAAAGACGGGAGAAGGAGCCGGCCAAGCCCGCCGCCTTATTTCAGATTCCCACCGCGCGCCGTGAGGCACCCTCGGGACACTCCCGGGACAGGGAGGGGCAGCTCAGTGCGCATGCGCCTCTCCCAGGCCCCCCGGGAAAGGGGTAATAGGAGCACCGAGCTCGCGCGGCGACGCCCCAGCTCCGGTCCAAACCCCTAGGCTCCCCGCCCAGTGCTCCGCCCCGCCGCGCTCGGTCGTTCCCCGCCCAGTACTCTCGCCCTGTAATCGGTGACTCCCCGCCCAGTGCTCCGCCCCACGCTCGGTTGCTCCCCGCCCAGTGCTCCGCCCCGCCGCGCTCGGTCGTTCCCCGCCCAGTACTTTCGCCCCGTAATCGGTGACTCCCCGCCCAGTGCTCCGCCCCACGGTCGGTTGCTCCCCGCCCAGTGCTCCGCCCGCCGCGCTCGGCTGTTTCCTAGCTAGTGCTTCCGCCTCGCGCTCGGTGACTCCCCGCGCAGTGCTCACGCCCGGTGCTCAGTTGCTCCCCGAAGGTGCTGCCGCCCACCGCGCTAGGTCGCCGGGTATGAACAGCGACCGGGGTGCTGGTCACCGAGTCCCCGCCTGGCCCGCCGCCCCCAGGCCCCCCGCCGCGGCACCCCCCGGACCTCCCGGGCCCCCCGGTCTCCCCGGACCCGCGCGGACCATCCCGGGAAGCGCCGGCTCCCGCCTCCAGCTGCTCCTCCAGCTGCAGCTGCTCTGAGGTCGCGGCACCGCCTTTGTCCCGCCGCCCGACTTCGGGGACCCCGGAACTGGCTGCGCCCGGACCCCGGGGACCCCGGAACTGGCTGCGCCCGGACCCCGGGGGACCCCGGAACTGGCTGCGCCCGGACCCCGGGGATTCCCGGAAGTGGCTCCGCCCGGACCCCGGAGGACCCCGGAACTGGCTCCGCCCGGACCCCGAGGATCCCCGGAAGCGGCTCCGCCCGGACCCCGGGAGACCCCGGAAGTGGCTGCGCCAGGACCCCGGAGACCCCCGGAAGCCGCAGGCGACGCCCCTGCTGATGCCGCGGCTGCTACTGCGCCGCCCTCGCCACGCGCGGCCGGGGAGCCCCGTGGACGCCCCATGGCGGCTCCGGGGTCGACCCCCCCGGCCCCCCAGGGCCCCGAGCCCCCCCAGGGCGTGGGGGACCCCGCCTACAGCCTGGACGACCTGGACACGGTGGCCACCGTGGGTGAGTGCTGCGCGCGGGGAGCTCGGTCGTTGGTCACCGTGGGTGAGTGCTGCGCGCGGGGAGCTCGGTCCCACTGCACTCGGGTCCCCAGCACTGGGGGTTCCTCTTCGTCCTGCGGGGCCACGTGACCCCTGACGCCCCCAACGCGCTACCCCCTCCCCCCCCGTGACACAGAACGTTGGAAACTGGAGGGTCCGCGTCACAAAGGTTTCTGGTCGCGGGGGGCACCGAGCCCGGCTGGGCTAGCACCTGCGCTCAGCCTCCTGAACGCGCTACTAGGAGAGGTGTTGGAGACGTTCAGCTGGGGTCCCCACTTCCCGGGGCGCCTCCCTTCCGGGGGTCCCCGCTTCCCTGGCAGTTCCCACGGGACTGGGGCAGGTAACCCACGTGGGTGCTGGATTCCCTTCAACTCGGTTTCTTAGCGACCTGAAGCGACGCCGGGTGTTTCGGGACCAGCGGGCGCGGGAGGCCGAGTTGGGGTTCAGAACACGGGCGGGGGGTGGGGTGGGGGGAGTGAAGATCACAAACAGGTGACAGGGAGGAGGGAGGGGAGGACGGAGAGCGGGAAGGGGAGGACGGGACCAGGGCCTTCCCTGCGCCGCCTGCCCGGAATGGGACTTGGGGTTGGGGTTCAGGGTCCGGGAGGAAAACAGGGTCGGACCCGCACCTACTCTCTCTCTCTCTCTCTCCTCTCTTTCTCTCTTTCTCTCTCTCTGTTGCTCACTATCACACTATCTTTTTTTTGTTTGTTTGTTGAGACAGGGTCTCCCTGTAGCCCCAGCTGTCCTGGAACTCACTATGTAGACCAGGCTGGCCTCGTATTTTATCTGATTTTATTTTAATGATTTATTTGTTTATTTGATTTCCTATTTCATTCGTTTTATTTTATATTTATAGTTTATTTACTTTTTATTTTTTTAGATTTTACTTTATATATTAATTTTATTCTTATATTTTCTTATTTTATTTTATTTTACTTTTAATTTTTTATTTATTTTACTTTATATTGTTTTATGTTTCGGATTTTATTTTAGTTTTATATTTTATTTTATATATTATTTATTTTATTTTATTTTAATACTGATCATTTTCATTTGGAGGCCACAGAGGGCGTCGGATACCCTGGAATGGCAGTTAGGGGCGATTGCGTTCCTCCACGTGGGTGCTGGGAACCGAGTTTTCTGCAGCAGCAGCCAGTGCTGGTCACCCCTGAGCCACGTCTCCAGTCCCTGTTGTGAAATGTAGTGAGTTACTGTGCGTTCAGAAAATGAGTGCGTGCACCAAGCATGGTTTTCAGTACTGGTACTTGACCTGGTGGCGATGCTCACCCAGCATCCCAGCACCCGGGAGGATGGGAAGTTCACGGGCAGCCTCGGCTACGGCACCCTCTACAGAGGTCAGGACAGGGTTGTTGGGTCTCAGGGAGTTGGAGTTGTGCGTCGCCTACTGGGTGCTGGGAGCAGAACTAGGTGCTCCCTGGATAAAATCTATGTCACGGATTTTATTTTAGTTTTATATTTTATTTTATATATTATTTATTTTCGCCCCGTCCTGCTTGAAGGTTTTCCGTGCATAGGGTGTGCACATGGGGTTCAGGGCCCTGTGCACAGTAAGCACTTTGGACCCAGGGCGGGGGGAGGGGGTGGCGCTCAGAGGCCTTTGCTCCTTTTCCCCTGCAGGCCCCAGGGAAGCAACAACTCGGTAACAAGCACCTCCGCTTGTCTAACCACCCCGCAGACCCTCACCTCCTGCGTTCTTAGCGAGTATCAGAGAACTGTGCTTCCAACAGGACATTTTTCCCTATAGCCCAGGCTGGCCCAGAACCCACTGTGGAGCCCAGGCTGACCCGGCACTGGCTGTGGAGCCCAGGCTAGCCGCCATGTCCCAGGCATCCGCCTGCCTCTGCCTCCTGGAGTGCCGAGGACTGAAGGCATTCCTGGCTCATAACTGGGTGCTTACCTGAGTATCCAGCACCCAGGACACCCACACCCCCTACTGCAAGCCCCAGCCCCGACTGGGCAGTCCCATCATGCACTGCGGGCCCTGCGCAGTCCGCCCTGCTGGGACTTGATGATTTCTCTCTTTGTCCTTTCGTAGTGACGTCACTGACCGCAGGCACCAATTCCTCAGGGTCCCAGAGGCCCCAGGTGCTGAGCGAGCGGTAGGGCGGGGCAGCCTGTGCTCAGGGCCTGGAGGGAGAATCCTCCAGAAAGTGGCCACAGCAGATGACTCGCCCCCTCCTGCCTGAAGGTCTGAAGGTGCTGCTGTCAAAACAGAAAGGTCTCTGATACCCCAGCCTCGTGACGTCATAGGCTTCCCAGAGACCCCCGTGACGTCGTGATGCTCTCAGAGACCAGCCCCTTCCCCCAGGAGTGGCGTTCACAAGAAGCACTGAGTCGGCAGCACCCGCCCCTCCTCTTGCAGCACCTGGTCTCCTGGCCGGGAGAGAATGTGGCTGAGGGAGACTTTATCCCGGAAAGCTCCGGGCTCAGCTTACAGAACCTCACAACACTCCCCAAGGCGGCTGATTGCGTAACATGACACGCCTCAGGTCACCAAGCGCCCGGCTGAGACCTGACTGCTCTCCCTGTGTGGGTGCTGGATACTCAGTCGCACACCCCCAACATGCAGTGCCAGTCCTGTTCAAGAACCTTCTCGCCCTCTCCAACCCAGAATTCCAGCTGGGGCCCATCGCCCTTCGCAAAACCTCTGAGGACACGATTCTGGAGGCTCGACCCTCATGACGTCATCACGTAAAACCTGGGGGGGCGGTGTGGTCCGGAGATGTGACATCACCCAAAACATGAGGGTTAGAAATTTGACGTCATTACCCAAAACCTGGACTGTGGGTGTGGCTCGGCTCACAGTGCTTATAGCTCGGTGGACAGAGTGCTTGTCAGTTGGATAGAATAGTGTTTGTAACGCAGAGCGTAGAGTGCTAGTAGCTCAAGTGATAGAGTGCTTGTAGCTCAGTTGATAAGTGCTTGTAGCCCAGTGGGCAGAGTGCATGTACCTCAGTTGGTAGAGTACTTGTACCTCAGTGGTTACAGTGCTAAGTGCTCAGTTGGGGGAGTGCTTGTGGATTAGTGGGTAGAGTGTAGTTCACTGGGAAGAGTACTTGCACTTCAGTGGATAGAATGCTTGTAGTTGAGTGGGTAAAGTGCTTGTAGCTCAGCGAGTAGAGTGCTTGCAGCTCAGTGGGTAGAGTTCTTGTAGTTCAGTGTGTAGAGTACTTGTAGCTCAGTGAGTAGAGTGCTTGCAGCTTAGTGGATAGAGTGCTTGTAGCTCAGTAAATAGAGTGCTCGTAGCTCACTGCACAGTGCTTGTGGCTCAGTGTGTAGAGTGCTTGGAGCTCAGTATAGAGTGCTTTTAGCTTAGTGGGTAGAGTGCTTGGAGCTCACTACAGAGTAATCGTAGCACAGTGGGTACAGTGCTTGAGGATCAGTGTAGAGTGCTTGGAGCTCAGTGCATGCAGTTCTTGTAGTTCAGTCATAGAGTGCTTGCAGCTCAGTGACTGTAGCGCTTATACCACACTGGGTAGAGTCCTTGCAGCTCAGTCGGTAGAGTGCTTTTAGCTCAGTGGGAAGAGTGCTCGTAGCTCAGTGTAGAGTGCCTGTTACTCAGTTGATACGGAGCTTGTAGCTCAATGCATAGAGTTCTTGTAGCTCAGTTGATAAGTGCTTGTAGCCCAGTGGGTAGAGTGCGTTTAGCTCAGTTGGTAGATTACTTGTACCTCACTGGTTACGTTGCTAAGTGCTCAGTTGGGGGAGTGCTTGTGAATTAGTGGGTAGAGTGCTTATAGCTCAGTGGATAGAGTGCTTGTAGTTCAGCAGGTAGAATGCTTATACCTCTGTAGAGTGCTTGTAGCTCAGTGGGAAGAGTACTTAACAGCTCAGTGAATAGAATGCTTGTGGTTGAGTGGGTAAAGTGCTTTTAGCTCAGTGGGTAGAGTGCTTGCAGCTCAGTCGGTAGAGTGCTTGCAGCTCAGTGGGTACAGTGCTTGTAGCTCAGCGGATAGAGTGCTTGCAGCTCAGTGGGCAGGGTTCTTGTAGCTCAGTGTGTAGAATACTTGTAGCTCAGTGAGTAGAGTGTTTGCAGCTTAGTGGATAGAGTGTTTGTAGCTCACTAAATAGAGTGCTCGTAGCTCACTGCACAGTGCTTGTAGCTCAGTGTGTAAAGTGCTTGTAGATCAGTGGGAAGAGTGCTTGTGGCTCACTGTGTAGAGTACTTGGAGCTCAGTATAGAGTGCTTTTAGCTAAGTGGCTAGAGTGCTTGTCGCTCAGTACAGAGTGCTCGTAGCACAGTGGGTACAGTGCTGGAAGATCAGTGTAGAGTGCTTGGAGCTCAGTGCATAGAGTTCTTGTAGTTCAGTCATAGAGTGCTTGTAGCTCAGTGGGTGTAGTGCTTGTAGCTCGGTGCGCAAAGTGCCTGTAGCTCAGTGGGAAGAGTGCTTAGAGCTCAGTGGGTAGAGTGCTTGTAGCTCAGAGAGCAGAGTGCTTGTAGGTCAGAGGACAGAGTCCTTGTACCACAGTGGGTAAAGTGCTTGTAGCACAGTGGGTAGAGTGCTTGTAGCTCACTAGGTAGAGTGTTTGTAGCTCAGTGTAGAGTGCTCATTGCTCAGAGTGCTTGTTGCTCAGTGGTAGAGTTCTTGTAGCACAGTGGGTAGAGTCCTTGCAGCTCAGTGAGTAGAGTGCTTGTAGCTCAGTGTAGAGTGCTTGTAGCTCAGTGGGTAGAGTGCTTTTAGCTCAGTGAGAAGAGTGCTTGTAGCTCAATGTAGAGTGCCTGTAGCTCAGTTGATACGGAGCTTGTAGTTCAGTGCATAGAGTGCTTGTAGCTCAGTTGATAAGTGTTTGTAGCCCAGTGGGTAGAGTGCGTGTAGCTCAGTGGGCAGAGTGCTCATAGCTCAGTGGGCAGGGTGCTTGTAGCTCAGTGGGTAGAGTGCTTCTAGCTCAGTGAGTAGAGTGCTTTTAGCTCAGGGTAGAGTCCTTATAGCTCAGTGGGTAGAGTGCTTGTAGCTCAGTGTTGACTGCTTGTAGCTCAGAGGAGACAGTGCTTGTAGCTGAGTGAGTAGAATGCTTGGAGCTTAGTGTACAGTGCTTGGAGCTCAATGGGCACTGTTGTAGCTCAGCGGATAGAGTGCTTGCTGCTCAATGAGTAGTGCTTGTAGATTAGGACAGAGTGCTTGGAGCCCAGTGTGTAGAGTGCTTGTACCTCAGAGAGAAGAGTGCTTGTAGCTCAGTGGGCAAAGTGCTCATAGCTCAGTGGGTAGAGTGCTTGTAGCTCAGTGGGCAGAGTGCTCATAGCTCAGTGGGCAGGGTGCTTGTAGCTCAGTGGATAGACTGCTTCTAGCTCAGTGAGTAGAGTGCTTGTAGCTCAGGGTAGAGTCCTTATAGCTCAGTGAGAAGAGTACTTGTAGCTCAGTAGGTAGTGCTCTTGTACCCTAGCGGGTAGAGTGCTTGTAGCTCAGTGCATAGTGCTTTAGACTCAGCAGGAAGAGTGCTTGTATCTCAGTGTAGAGTGCTTGTACCTCAGAGGAGACAGTGTTGTAGCACAGACACGACAGTGCTTGTAGCTGAGTGGGTATAGTGCTTATACATCAGTGTGTAGAGTGCTTGGAGCTTAGTGTAGAGTGCTTGGAGCTCAGTGGGCACAGTGTTGGAGCTCAGCGGGTAGAGGGCTTGTTGCTCAGCAGGGAAAGTGCTTGTAGCTCAGCAGACAGAGTGCTTGTTGCTCAGTGAGTAGAGTGTTTGTAGCTCAGTAGGTAGCATTCTAGTACCCCAGCGGGTAGAGTGCTTGTGGCTCATCACAGAGTGCTTGTTGCTCAATGGGTAGTGCTTGTAGATTAGAACAGAGTGCTTCTAGCTCAGTGTAGAGTGCTTGAGCTCAGTGGGCAGGGTGCTTCTAGCTCCGTGGATAGGGTGCTTGTAGAATGGTTGTAGCTCAGTGGGTAGAGTACTTGTAGCTCAGTGGGCAGAGTGCTCATAACTCAGTGGACAGGGTGCTTTTAGCTCAGTGGGTAGAGTCCTAGTAGGTCAGTGGTTGAGTGCTTGTAGCTCAGTGGCTGGAGTGCTTGTAGGTCAGTGGGAAGAGTGCTTATAGTTTAGTGAGTAGTGTGCTTCTAGCTCAGTGTAGAGTGATTTTAGCTCAGTGGGTAGAGTGCTTGTAACTAAGTGGGTAGAGTGCTTGTAACTTAGTGGGTACGGTGCTTGTAGCTTTGTATGTAGAGTATTTGTAGCTCAGTATAGCTTGCTCATAGGTCAGTGGTAGAGTGCTTCTTGCTCAGTAGTAGAGTGCTTGTAGCTCAGTGGGTAGAGTGCTTGTAGCTCAGTGTTGAGTGCCTTAGCTCAGTGGGTAGAGTGCTTGTACATCCGTGTGTAGAGTGCTTGGAGCTTAGTGTACAGTGCTTGGAGCTCAGCGGGCACAGTGTTGGAGCTCAGCAGATAGAGTGCTTGTTGCTGAGTGGATAGAGTGCTTGGAGCTCAGTAGGTAGAGTGCTTCTTGCTCAGTAGTAGAGTGCTTGGAGCTCAGTGGGCAGAGTCCTTGCAGCTCACTGTGTAGAGTACTTGGAGATCAATATAGAGTGCTTTTAGCTTAGTGGGTAGAGTGCTTGTCGCTCAGTACAGAGTGGTTGTAGCACAGTGGGTACAGTGCTTGAAGATCAGTGTAGAGTGTTTGGAGCTCAGTGCAAAGAGTTCTTGTAGTTCAGTGATCGAGTGCTTGGAGCTCAGTGACTGTAGTGCTTATACCTCACTGGGTAGAGTGCTTGGAGCTCAGTAGGTAGAGTGCTTATAGCACAGTGCGTAGAGTGCTTGTAGCGCAGTTGCTGTAGTGTTTATACCTCACTGGGTAGAGTCCTTGTGGCTCAGCGGGTCGAGTGCTTATAGCTCAGTCACTGCTTACCGGGCGGCGGGCGTGTGAAGCCAGCATGTGTGACGTCGGCAGACAGCCAGCCTCGTCCCGAGTTCCGGTTTAGGAAATATTCCGGTCTGAGGCCGCAGGTGCTGAGTGCTCGGTCCCAGCACCCCAGGCCGGGGCCGCGGGGCTCAGGTCCAGTCCAGCCTGGGACACCCAGCGACTTCCGGGGCAGCCTGAGCTCCACCAGGTCGCGGCAGACAAAACAGAGTCTGGGGTGACGTCATGGCTGCCCCTCCCGGGCCAGACAGCACAGTCCTGGGCTTTCGGGAGCTTGTGGGTCCAGCTGGGTGCTGGGTACTGTGCCCGAGTGCTCCGCACCACGTGGGTGCTGGGGACCAAGGAAGAGTGCCGAAGGACAGAGCACCCAGTTCCCAGCACCGCAAACACGCCCCACGCCGCTGCCGGCCCCGTCCACATCCCTACAGCCCGTATGCCAGGTGTACAGTGCTGGGCGCACACAGAGCTGGGTGGTCATAGTACTCGGCTCTGGTTTAAGTCGTGTGTCTAGGTCCTTACTGCAGCCGTGTGCAGAGGCGGGGCCTGTGGGAAGTGATGTCATCATGCGTGCTGTGACGTCATTACTGGGTCTTCCTTGGACAGAGTCAGTAGGTCGGAATCCATAGGAGAGTCGTGGGCGGAAGTGATGTCATGGGGGGGAGTGTCCTGGACGGCGATGGAAACCCACCTCTTCCTCTAAGTCCTTTTTCTTGGACGTATGATACTCCTCCGTGGCTATGTTACATAAGCCTTCATCCTCAGTACAGCCGTGCGGACAGGTGGGGCCGCTGGGAGGCGATTACGTCATGAGGGCGCTGACGTCACCAGTGGGTCGTGCCCTGATGGATTTATAGCGTGATGGGATATTGGGAGGTTGGGGAAACGTAGGCGGGCAGTCCTGGGAGGAAGTGACGTTGTGGAAGCACAGCGCACAGAGGGCGGGGCTAGCCTGCTCTCACGTTTCCATGGTGATCTGGTGTCCATTGGGGGGCGTTGAGGTAGGGGTCCTCCTTCCCGGGAGGTCCCCAAGGGCATGTGGGGGTCCGGGCTGGCCGGGGCCGTCATGTGCTGCACTTGTGGGTTATTCGTAAGTCCAGCGCGTCATTGTCGTTATTCTCACTATTATGACCGTTATTTGGGGCCGTCCCGACGTCAACAACATCGTGACTATTATTATCTGTGGGTCGTTCCTACCTGCAAACGTCGTCGTCGTCATCACTGTGAGGACTGTGCTCCTCCCTGTGTCTGAAACCGATTGTTATGACGACCGCTGCCGCTCCTGCGGGTCCTCACCCGTCGTCACCGTCATCGTCATCAGCTGACGGTCATCCCCACCTTCTTTCATTATTATTGTTATTGCTTGACGATCGTCCGCAGCTCATTTCAGGTCACTCGGCATCAGCAGCAGCACCCGAGGACTGTGCACGCCCCCAAGCACTCTGCCCCTAAGCAGCACCGAGCCCAACTGCTGTCTTTACCACTGTTCCTGTGCTCCTTACGTCACGTGCTGGCGGCGCACCCCAGGGCTTGGGTCCGTGTTCCACATAGAATTCAGGCTTAGTTGTGCTCTGGCCCATACCGGAAATGACGTCACAGCAGTGTGGCAGCGCCCCTGTGAGGAGCGGGTGTGGTGCCTAGCCCAGAACTCAGTGGGTGCACGGGTCCCGTGGGGTTGGTTTCCTGGTGAGGCCGCGCTGATGTCACAGGGGGTGATGTCACAGGGTGGGCGACGTCACAGGGTGGGTGGAGCACATCGCACGTCAGATCTGGGCACTTCCTGATGACCTGGGAGGAGCCGGAAGAGGAACAGGGAAAGGCCAAGAAGAGGACAGCACGAAACAGGAAGTGGACGAGGAACAGGAAGTGGAGGAGGAGGAAGGACAGGAGGGGAAGCAGGAAGTGGAGCAGGGAGAGGATGAGGAGGAAGAGCAAGAGACGGACAGGAAGGGGGGAGCGGATGGGGAGGAGGAGGAAGACACGGACAGGAAGTGGACCAGGAAGGGGGAGGGGACGGGGAGGAAGTGGAGCAGGCAGAGCGGGAAGCGGAAGAGGAAGGACCGGAAGGACTGGGGGGGAAGAGGAGGCGCGGGAAGCGAGGGAGGCAGGGAGATCTGGAACCGGGAGGGGCGGAGAGCAGCAGGACTGACGACTCCCACCGTCCGGGGCAGCTCCGGGCTCCGGGTCTCAAGCTTTTCCTGCTCTGTGTGGTCTGTCTGACGTTTACGCACACCACACGTACTTACGTCCACGTATGCGCCAAATGCCCGGGACCGCATCGGGGCGACGGATTCCGGGAACCTGGACCTTCGGGTGCCTGTGCGCCGCCCTGTGGGCGCCAGGGACCGAATCCACTGGGCCTCGCAGTCACAGAGGCCGGCCTGTCTCTCCCTCCCGGTGCTGGGCTAGGTACCCTGCCCAGCTGCAGGTGGTTCCTATGACGCTGTTCCGTTTGGGGAGGGACGTGTGTGCAGAGGGCACGTGCCGGCTCGGTGACGTCAGCGCTGTCTTCCTACGTCACTTCGGGGGGTCGAACCCAGGTCTCTGTCTCCCGCAGGCACCGGGACCTTCGGCCGCGTCCACCTGGTGAAGCAGAAAACCACGGAGCGCTACTTCGCCCTGAAGGTCATGAGCATCTCTGACGTCATCCGCCTGAAGCAGGAACAGCACGTACACAACGAGAAGGCGGTGCTCAAGGACGTCACGCACCCCTTCCTGGTCAAGCTGTGAGTCCCCGGGCCTGCCGGAGCGCCTCTCGGGGTGCTGGGGCAGGAGCTCAGTTGGCAGAGTGCTCGTGGCTCATTGCCTGGCAGTTCACCGGGTACAGTGGTCATAGCTCAGTCTGTAGAGTGCGTGTATCTTAGTTCTTAGAGTTCTTCCAGCTCAGTTGCTGGAGTGCTCGTAGCCCAGTTGACAGAGTGCTCATGGCTCAGTTCCCAGAAGCTCACTGGGTAGAGTTTTTGTAGCTCAGTGGGAAGAGTACTTGTAGCTCAGTCTGTAGAGTGCTAGTAGCCCAGTTGATAGCTCAGTTCACAGAGTACTTCTAGCTCATTCCCTGGAAACTGAATAGTTTGTAGCTCAGTCGGGAGAGTGCTTATAGCTCAGTCTGTAGATTGCTAGTAGCTCAGTCTGTAGAGTGCTTGTACCTTAGTTCATAGAACCCTTGGAGCTCAATTGGTAGACTCATTGTAGCCCAGTTGATAAAGTGCTTTTAGCTCAGTTCACAGAGTACTTGTAGCTCAGTCTGTAGAGTACCCTAGTTTGTAGAGTCCTTGCAGCTCAGTTGGTAGAGTGCTTGTACTCAGTTGACAAGAGTAATACTTGCGGCTCAGTTCCTGAAAGCTCACAGGGTAGAGTGCTTCCTGGTCTAACATCTCTGGGCTCCGCATACCGTTCCCGGAAGGAAGTCCAGGCCAGGGGTCCCAGGCCACGTGGAGAGCAGACAACGCCAGCCGAGCCTGGAGAATGCAGTGCTACAGGGAAAAAGTTTTGTGCTGGGGGTGGGGTGCTTAGTGACGTGGTGGGTGATGGATGGAGGATGGATGGATGACGGATGGTAGATGATGATGATGGTGATGGGTGGTGGATGGTGGAGGATGATGATGGGGATGGATGATGGATGGTGGAGGATGATGATGGTGATGGGTGATGGATGGTGGAGGATGATGATGGGGATGGATGATGGATGGTGGAGGATGATGATGGTGATGGGTGATGGATGGTGGAGGATGATGATGGGGATGGATGATGGATGGTGGAGGATGATGATGGTGATGGGTGAGGATGGTGGAGGATGATGATGGGGATGGATGATGGATGGTGGAGGATGATGATGGTGATGGGTGAGGATGGTGGAGGATGATGATGGGGATGGATGATGGATGGTGGAGGATGATGATGGTGATGGGTGAGGATGGTGGAGGATGATGATGGGGATGGATGATGGATGGTGGAGGATGATGATGGTGATGGGTGAGGATGGTGGAGGATGATGATGGGGATGGATGATGGATGGTGGAGGATGATGATGGTGATGGGTGAGGATGGTGGAGGATGATGATGGGGATGGATGATGGATGGTGGAGGATGATGATGGTGATGGGTGAGGATGGTGGAGGATGATGATGGGGATGGATGATGGATGGTGGAGGATGATGATGGTGATGGGTGAGGATGGTGGAGGATGATGATGGGGATGGATGATGGATGGTGGAGGATGATGATGGTGATGGGTGAGGATGGTGGAGGATGATGATGGGGATGGATGATGGATGGTGGAGGATGATGATGGTGATGGGTGAGGATGGTGGAGGATGATGATGGGGATGGATGATGGATGGTGGAGGATGATGATGGTGATGGGTGAGGATGGTGGAGGATGATGATGGGGATGGATGATGGATGGTGGAGGATGATGATGGTGATGGGTGAGGATGGTGGAGGATGATGATGGGGATGGATGATGGATGGTGGAGGATGATGATGGTGATGGGTGAGGATGGTGGAGGATGATGATGGGGATGGATGATGGATGGTGGAGGATGATGATGGTGATGGGTGAGGATGGTGGAGGATGATGATGGGGATGGATGATGGATGGTGGAGGATGATGATGGTGATGGGTGAGGATGGTGGAGGATGATGATGGGGATGGATGATGGATGGTGGAGGATGATGATGGTGATGGGTGAGGATGGTGGAGGATGATGATGGGGATGGATGATGGATGGTGGAGGATGATGATGGTGATGGGTGAGGATGGTGGAGGATGATGATGGGGATGGATGATGGATGGTGGAGGATGATGATGGTGATGGGTGAGGATGGTGGAGGATGATGATGGGGATGGATGATGGATGGTGGAGGATGATGATGGTGATGGGTGAGGATGGTGGAGGATGATGATGGGGATGGATGATGGATGGTGGAGGATGATGATGGTGATGGGTGAGGATGGTGGAGGATGATGATGGGGATGGATGATGGATGGTGGAGGATGATGATGGTGATGGGTGAGGATGGTGGAGGATGATGATGGGGATGGATGATGGATGGTGGAGGATGATGATGGTGATGGGTGAGGATGGTGGAGGATGATGATGGGGATGGATGATGGATGGTGGAGGATGATGATGGTGATGGGTGAGGATGGTGGAGGATGATGATGGGGATGGATGATGGATGGTGGAGGATGATGATGGTGATGGGTGAGGATGGTGGAGGATGATGATGGGGATGGATGATGGATGGTGGAGGATGATGATGGTGATGGGTGAGGATGGTGGAGGATGATGATGGGGATGGATGATGGATGGTGGAGGATGATGATGGTGATGGGTGAGGATGGTGGAGGATGATGATGGGGATGGATGATGGATGGTGGAGGATGATGATGGTGATGGGTGAGGATGGTGGAGGATGATGATGGGGATGGATGATGGATGGTGGAGGATGATGATGGTGATGGGTGAGGATGGTGGAGGATGATGATGGGGATGGATGATGGATGGTGGAGGATGATGATGGTGATGGGTGAGGATGGTGGAGGATGATGATGGGGATGGATGATGGATGGTGGAGGATGATGATGGTGATGGGTGAGGATGGTGGAGGATGATGATGGGGATGGATGATGGATGGTGGAGGATGATGATGGTGATGGGTGATGGATGGTGGAGGATGATGATGGGGATGGGTGATGGATGGGGGAGGATGATGATGGTGATGGGTGATGGATGGTGGAGGATGATGATGGTGGATGAGGGTGATGGATGGTGGAGGATGATGATGGTGGATGATGCATGGTTGCATGGTTGGTGGAGGATGATGATGGTGGATCATGGTGGAGGGTGGATGACGATGGGTGATGATCATGACGATGGTGATGGATGACGCTTCGATGATGGATGATGATGATGATAAGGGGGGGTGGATGGGTGGATGGGTGGGGTGGGCTACCCCCTGTCAGCAGGCCTTCCGAGGCTACCCCGTGGCAGCAGGCTATGCCCCCGCAGGTTCTGGACAGCGCACGACGCGCGCTTCCTGTACATGCTGCTGGAGTTCGCGCCGGGCGGGGAGCTGTTCAGCTTCCTGCGCACGCGTGGCCGGTTCTCGCCGGCCACCGGCATGTTCTACGCGGCCGAGATCACCTGCGCGCTCGAGTTCCTGCATGGCCGGCACGTGGTCTACCGCGACCTCAAGCCCGAGAACATCCTGCTGGACCGCGACGGGCACGTCAAGCTCACCGACTTCGGCTTCGCCAAGAAGCTGGCCGACAGGTGAGAGGGGCTAGCCTGGGCTGTGCCGGTGGGGCTGCCTGAGTCCGAAGCACACTTGTGGCTTCTCCTCCTGCTTCCGGTTTCTTCCCAGTTCCCGCATCCTCCCACTTTCGTTTGCTCGTCCAGTTTCTGGTTTCTTCCCAAAGTGGTTTCTTGTCCCGGTTCCTTTTTCTCTTCCACGTATGATTTCACCCTGCACTTCCTGTTTCTCTCCCCGATTGCACCATCTCTTCCGGCTCCCGATTTATCGTTCCCCTTCCTGTTTCTGCTCCCACTTGCGATTTCCCTTCCCCATTTCTCCCACTTCCGGTTTCTCCCCCACTTCCGGCTTCTCTTCCCACCTCCGGTTTCCGTCGCAGCATCTGCTTTCCCTCCGAGGTCCACTTTCCCTTCTGTTTCCGGTTCCTCCTCCACCTCCGGTTTCTCTGCCTACGTCCTGTTCATCTTCGCTTGGCACGGCTCCTCCCACTTCCGTTTTTTTTTCCTTTCCAGCCACGTTTCCTTCCGACATCTACTGTTTTCCCACTTCCTGTCCTTCAGTTTTGTCCCCTTCACATTTCAAGTTTCTCCGACTTCCAGTTCTCTCCCCACTTCCGTTCCCACCATCTGGTTTTCCTTCCTACTTCCGGTTTCTATGCCACTTCCGGGATGTGCAGGCCGAGTGGCCTGAGGGACGCGAGCCAGAGAGGCCGGTTTCTGGCACTCAGGGGGTCACGGGGCGGCTCCATCCAGGCCTTCTGCACGTCTAGCCGGCGTGAGGCGGGTTCAGGAGGTCTGGGGGTGTGAGGCGGGGTCAGGCGGTTTGGGGTGACTTTAATGCCATTTCAGCCCTTGGCAGGCGCGGTCAGGTAGCTTCAGGCGGTGTCAGGCAGTTTTAGGTGGTTTCTCATGTGGTGTGGGGCAGTTTCCAGTGGATACAAGGGGTGACTTTAATGCCATTTCAGCCCTTGGCAGGCGCGGTCAGGTAGCTTCAGATGGTTTCAGGCGGTTTCAGGCAGTTTGTCAGGCAGTTTTAGGTGGTTTCTCATGTGGCGTGGGGCAGTTTCCAGTGGATACAAGGTGGTTTCAGGCAGTGTCGGCTGGTTTCAGGCAGTGTCAGCTGGTTTCAGGTGCTGTCGGCTGGTCTCAGGCGGTGTCAGCTGGTTTCAGGTGCTGTCGGCTGGTCTCAGGTGGTGTCGGCTGGTTTCAGGCGCTGTCGGCTGGTCTCAGGCGGTGTCAGGCTCCGAGCATGGAATCTGACATTAAGGGCCCCGTAAGTAGCAGGATCTGGAGGCCGAGGATTGGATGTCCACACAGACTGACAGTGTCTACTGGGGGGAACGGATGAGTGCTAGGACCACAGGACTGAGTCCACTTGCCACGTGTACTCGTTTGTGTGCTGCTGGGGACAGAATCCAGGATGTCGTGAGTGCTGGGAGAGCACTCTGCCCACTGAACTATAACTACTCTGTATACTGAGTTCCAAGCATTCTACACACTGAGCTGCAAGCACTCTACCCACTGAGCCCCAGGCACTCTTCCTACTGAGCTATGAGCACTCTACTCGCTAAGGTATAAGTACACCGCCCACTGAGCTACACACACTCTACCCATCTGGGTACGAGCACTCTACCCACTGAGCTCCAAGCACTCTGCCCAGTGAGCTGTAAATACTCTACCCACTGATCTACAAGCACTCTACCGGCTGAGCTCCAAGTACAGTACCCACTAAGCTACAGGCACTCTTCCTACTGAGCTACAAGCACTCCACTAACCTACAAGCACTCTGCCCACTGAGCTACAAACACTCTACCCATCGAACTCCATCCCCATCTCCTATTAACAATGTTCTACTGGGATCAACACAGCTCATTACTTGTCCACAGTCCTGACTCTCCGGGACGTTTCACACACGTCTGTGACGCACTTTGCTCGTCGGCTGCCGAGTCTCACGGTCGCCGCCTCTGTCACCCACAGGACGTGGACGCTGTGCGGGACCCCGGAATACCTCGCCCCCGAAGTCATTCAGAGCAAGGGCCACGGGAGGGCCGTGGACTGGTGGGCACTCGGCATCCTGATCTTTGAAATGCTGTCGGGGTGAGTACCCGCCTGAGACACTCGGTCCCGTGCACACCACACTAAGGCGTTCTGACACTCGGCCTGTGGATGCTCACACACACCCCGCTGCCAGGGTCACGAGGGGCGAGTTTCCGTGAACAAGTCCGTCAGTCGACTTAGCGACGCCTGATGAGCACCCCTGACGGCCGGACAGGGAGGACATTTCCACATTTCACACCAAATGTTTTCTGACAATGGAGTCCCGGGCAGCCCAGCTGCGGACACTCTCAGGACTCGAACCCAGCACTCTGACACCCTTTACTGAGACCAAGGGTCAACAATATGTTCATCCAACCACCACGCATCCACCATCCGTCTTAATCCATCATCATCATCATCCACCCATCCATCATCCACCATCCACCATCCATCCATCATCATCATCATCCACCATCCATCCACCCAGCAGCATCATTGTCATCCACACAGCCATCCAGTGCCCCTAGCCATCATCAACTCTCCCTCCATCCTCTAACCCCTTGTCCACCGGTTATTTCACACGCACCCCTCACCCATTTTTACGAACACCCACAGTGTGCATCTGTGCTGCAGCGTGCATGCATCCACGTGTAACCCACACGCATCTCCGTGTCTGTGCGTCCGCCCAGCGTGCGCCCATACACGTACACGTGTCACCCACAAGCCTTTCTGATTCTTTTCAATCTCGTTTTTCATGTGCCACAGTCACCTGCGAGCCAGCCAGGCGCCCCCTTTTCCATAGTTTCCGTGGCCCGGATGTCCGCAGCCCCGCCCCTGCTAAAAGTACCCTGCACAGAAATGTGGTAAAAATGTATAGCTAGAAGGCCGGCCGTGGTGGCGATGCCTTTAATCCCAGCACGCGGGAGGCAGAGGCAGGCGGATCTCTGTGAGTTCAAGGCCAGCCTGGTCTACATAGTGAGTTCCAGGACAGCTGGGCTACAGGGAGACCCTGTCTCAAAAAGACCAAAACTAAAAAAAAGTGGCTTGATGGAAATACGGAGAAAAAGCCCATCAGCCGGTTCGCTCCGGTTGGTCCTGTTCGTCCTGTGAGCGGCCGGCAGAGGGCGGCGGAGGCTCAGCTGAGCCTGGGGCCGAGGTTGCGCAACCGGTTTCCTGTTGTTCAGACCGGATCCCGAGCTCCTTAAGGAGACCCAGGTCCAGGAGCAGTTGTCACGCACTCCTAGAAATATAAATTCTAGAATTCACGTATTCTAGAATCATCTCGAATGACGCTATGTCCTTGCAGGATATTGGCAGACCACAGTGTTATTAGAGTAGACTTGAATTTACATGTTTGAATTTGAGTTTTTAAACTTTTAAATTTATTGAATTTGAATTTTTGAATTTGAGTTTGCATTATTTGAATTTGAAACTTAATGCTTGAGTTTGAACCACTTGAACTTGCATTTTTGAATTTGAAATTGTGTCAGGCCCTAGAGAGCTGACTCAGCAGTTGAGAGCACCGTCTGTGGTTCCCAGCACCCACCCACATTTGCTGGCACACAAGCACCAGAAAGGCCAGCTCAGGGGATCTGCTGACGACTTCCGGCCTCAAAGACACAAATCCAGACCCAGACCCAGACATAATTAAAATATCAACGTGTACGTTAGGAAGGTTGAGCATCAGGCCACGCACTTATGTTGCATAATAAGTATTAAATGTTAGCATTTGAACAGGAAATGTTTGCTGAGCACACGCACGCACTTCCCATGATCCCCGAGCGCTTCCACATGTTGTCCCTCAGCTTTCGGGGTAATTACGGCTCCCTCTCCGGAGCAGCTGCAGCTGCGTGCCGGGCTCTGTGCGTTTGTGCTGCTCTCGGGGCTGACCTCATCCAGGACGCTCCATCCCATGACCCTGCACCCACCCATCTGCACACACCGTGTCTCCAGGGTCCCGTTCTTATTTTCTGAGCTCAGGACAGGGACATGCTCAGTGCCTTTCAGCATTACATAATATATGCACACATATACTGTGTATTTATTACACACACATAGATACACACATTTATATAAGCATATACAATGCACAACACGGGTGCACCAACATACATGCAGGCAATACACTCATACACATAAGATAAAAATAAAATATTTTTAAAAGCATATACATTATATACGCACACGATTATAAAAATATATACATATACACACAAATATGTATATATGCATGTACACACATACACAGATATACATACGTAACATACATTATACATGAATGTGTGCATATTGTATATGTACACCGATATATGTATATACGTAAACATACATTATATATGCTACACACATACACGTACACATATTCACGTATTATATTTGATATGTGTGTATCTGTACGTATTATATACACACATATACATATATTGTTATATATGCACACAGGTATACATTTTATAAATGACTATTATAAATGCACATATATACATATATGCACACATTTATATGCGCATAGTACATGTATTGTGTCTGTACATGGACATATATATCAACATGTTACTCACATACACATAATTTATAGTACGTAGCTATGATCTGTAATTCACATCTTTCTTACATGTGTTTTAATTCTTATATTTTGAATAATGTATCATAATTCCATATATTTGGTATGTAACAACATGTATAATGTATGGGTATATAATCACATCTGCCACATACAGTCCCATATTACATAGTCTACGTAGTCCTTCGATACCACACACACGTGAGACCTGCCTGTAAGTGGTTTGGGGTCCGTGACCCCAGAGACTCAGGAACCCACACCCACACCCACACCCACCCTCCCGCGTCCCTGTTTACCCATGTCTCGGGAATTATTTCCCTCCGACTTTCCGTATGTTTCCCAGCAGCCTCCGTGCTCTGACCAGCCATCTCTGTCCCCGCAGGTTCCCACCGTTCTTTGACGACAATCCTTTCGGAATCTACCAGAAAATCCTCGCCTGCAGAATTGACTTCCCCAGACACTTGGATTTCACGTCCAAGTGAGTGATTCTCCAAGCACCGAGCATCAGCACCCAGAGCAAGTGGTCCCGAAAGAGCAGGGGTCGCATTCAAACTCTGCTGCGGAAAAAGGGGGAAAATGCTTTCCTGATTCTTGTTTTAATGAGATTTAATATTCAAGAGCCCCTTTAACAGCCATTCCCTTTAAGAGAAAGTCATTCATTCCCTTTAAGATAAAGTCCTTGCCTTTAATATAAACTCATTCATTGCCTTTAAGATGAACTCATTCATTCCCTTAAAGGCAAAGTCATTCCCTTTAAGATAAAACCATTCATTCCCTTTAAGATAAAGTCTTTCCCTTTAAGATAAAACCCTTCCCTCTAAGTAAACGCCTCCATTCCCTTTACGATAAAGCACATTTGAGAGGAGCAAAGGTGGAAAGTTGGAATTGTGTCAGAAAAGTTATTTATGAATTTTGCTCCTGAGTGCTGGGCTGTCAGATGCACAGTACACATGGTTTACACACGTGTCCAGGCCGGGCGAGGCCCCGCCCCACTGAGCCGCAGGGCCCTGCCGGGTCAGACGCCATCAGACTTGTTAGGGATTGCGCAGTACTTGACGAGCACAGCACCCAACACGGCCTCCTGAAACAGCGCGTCAGTGCAGCCTGAGGAGTCCTTTAACAACAGCTGCAGGGACCGAAGTCAGGCAGGCGGAGGCCTGAACTTTGCTCCAAGCACCCAAGCATGGAGCTCTGGGTTCCCTACGCCGCCTAACACTCAGTTCGTGCAACTGGTAGAGTGCTTGTAGCTCAGTGGGTAGAGTGCTTGTAGCTCTGTATATAGAGTGCTTCTAGCTCAGTAGGTAGGGTGCTTGTAGCTCAGTGGGAACTGCTTGTAGCTCAGTGGGTAGAGTGCTTGTAGCTCAGTAGGTAGGGTACTTGTAGCTCAGTGGGAACTGCTTGTAGCTCAGTACATACATAGAGTGCTTCTAGCTCAGCGGGTAGAGTGGTTGCAGCTCAGTGGGTACAGTGCTTGTACCTCAGTGGGCACAGTTATTGTGGTTCTGTGGATCAAATCTTTTAGTTCAGTGCTTACAACTCAGTATGCAAAGTGTTTGTGGCTTAGAAGGCAGAGTGCTTGGATCTGAGTTGTTCGGGAGTGCTCCCCTGCATTTTATTTACAGCCACATTTGATGCGGCCTGGTGGGAGGTGGGTGGCAGAGGGTCCCAGGTTCAAGGTCCTGAGTGACAGCTCTGCCTCCTCCTCCTCCCCCTCCTGCCCCTCCTCCTCCTCCTCTTGCTCCTCCTCCTCCTCTTGCTCCTCCTCCTCCTCTTGCTCCTCCTCCTCCTCTTGCTCCTCCTCCTCCTCTTGCTCCTCCTCCTCCTCTTGCTCCTCCTCCTCCTCTTGCTCCTCCTCCTCCTCTTGCTCCTCCTCCTCCTCTTGCTCCTCCTCCTCCTCTTGCTCCTCCTCCTCCTCTTGCTCCTCCTCCTCCTCTTGCTCCTCCTCCTCCTCTTGCTCCTCCTCCTCCTCTTGCTCCTCCTCCTCCTCTTGCTCCTCCTCCTCCTCTTGCTCCTCCTCCTCCTCTTGCTCCTCCTCCTCCTCTTGCTCCTCCTCCTCCTCTTGCTCCTCCTCCTCCTCTTGCTCCTCCTCCTCCTCTTGCTCCTCCTCCTCCTCTTGCTCCTCCTCCTCCTCTTGCTCCTCCTCCTCCTCTTGCTCCTCCTCCTCCTCTTGCTCCTCCTCCTCCTCTTGCTCCTCCTCCTCCTCTTGCTCCTCCTCCTCCTCTTGCTCCTCCTCCTCCTCTTGCTCCTCCTCCTCCTCTTGCTCCTCCTCCTCCTCTTGCTCCTCCTCCTCCTCTTGCTCCTCCTCCTCCTCTTGCTCCTCCTCCTCCTCTTGCTCCTCCTCCTCCTCTTGCTCCTCCTCCTCCTCTTGCTCCTCCTCCTCCTCTTGCTCCTCCTCCTCCTCTTGCTCCTCCTCCTCCTCTTGCTCCTCCTCCTCCTCTTGCTCCTCCTCCTCCTCTTGCTCCTCCTCCTCCTCTTGCTCCTCCTCCTCCTCTTGCTCCTCCTCCTCCTCTTGCTCCTCCTCCTCCTCTTGCTCCTCCTCCTCCTCTTGCTCCTCCTCCTCCTCTTGCTCCTCCTCCTCCTCTTGCTCCTCCTCCTCCTCTTGCTCCTCCTCCTCCTCTTGCTCCTCCTCCTCCTCTTGCTCCTCCTCCTCCTCTTGCTCCTCCTCCTCCTCTTGCTCCTCCTCCTCCTCTTGCTCCTCCTCCTCCTCTTGCTCCTCCTCCTCCTCTTGCTCCTCCTCCTCCTCTTGCTCCTCCTCCTCCTCTTGCTCCTCCTCCTCCTCTTGCTCCTCCTCCTCCTCTTGCTCCTCCTCCTCCTCTTGCTCCTCCTCCTCCTCTTGCTCCTCCTCCTCCTCTTGCTCCTCCTCCTCCTCTTGCTCCTCCTCCTCCTCTTGCTCCTCCTCCTCCTCTTGCTCCTCCTCCTCCTCTTGCTCCTCCTCCTCCTCTTGCTCCTCCTCCTCCTCTTGCTCCTCCTCCTCCTCTTGCTCCTCCTCCTCCTCTTGCTCCTCCTCCTCCTCTTGCTCCTCCTCCTCCTCCACCCACCCCCCCTCCCCCCCCTCCTCCTCCTCCTCCTCTCCGTCCTCCATCACTTCCGGCTCATCCCGGAACTCTCAAACAGTGAAAACATTTTCCCGGAGCAGACGTGACACTTGTTGGCATCAGGGCGATTGGGGCGAGTCACCTGTTTCCAGTGGTGGTTTGTGCGGTTCCTTCCGGAAGGCGTCCCTTCTGTTTCCGGGAAGCCGTGTGGATGGGAAGGGTCTCATCCGGATGCTTCCCCGCAGGGACCTGATCAGGAAGCTGCTGGTGGTGGACCGGACGCGGCGACTGGGCTGCATGAAGGTCAGTGCTGGGAGCTCGGTCTACCACTTTTCCCACGTCCCTGTCATGTGCCACGCACTCGGTGCTCCACATGCACTGGGCTCCCAGCACCCACAGGGCGGCGCCCAGTGTCCTGACGGCCCAGCGCCCGGGATCCACGGCCTCGGTGACCCCCTGGGTGCTGGTGAACACAGTGCTTTGTCCTTAGCCGTGTTTCTGTCTCAGAACGGCGTGGATGACGTCAAGCGGCATCGCTGGTTCCGAGGCGTGGACTGGGACAGCGTCGTGCTGAGGAAGCTCAAGGTGAGGCCTCACCCGGAACCCAGGCTAGCCCGCGGGCATGGGGTGTGGTCTGATGGCGTCACCAACATCCACCGCGTGACATCGTGGCCTGAACCTCAGGACCCCAGTCCTGGTCAGAGACACTGGGCGGGGACTCACTCTGATTGCGCCACCAACGTGCACCCCCTGACGTCATTGACTTACATCAGGGCCGCAGGCTGGCCACCTGGCCTGTGCAGGGACGCAGTCTAATGGCGTCACCCACAAACGCCCGATGTCATTCATCTAACCTCGGGACATACTGGATACCATGGCCCCAAACTGGGCTTCCGGGAGGCTCTGCGCGCCCTGTGGGTGCTGGGAAGGGAACGGAGTCCTCCCAGAGAACATCCATGCTGGTACCGAGCACCTCACAGCCCCCAGGGCTTCAGTCTTTTGACCTCTGGGTCGGTGCCCCCCGTGGCCTAGGCACAGTCCTGCTCCAGCCCTGCCTAGCCTGGGCTAACACCCCCGGCTCAGGCCTGGTTCTGGGATTCAGAGCCGAGGGAACTCGGACCTGACCATCCGAGCACCGAACAGGTCTCGGCACCTGGATGCCATCTTGCTCATCCCCTGTCTGACCCGCGGTCTCGTGTTCCATCCTCCCCCGTGTGCGCACGACCCCACGGCTGCCTAGCCGCAGCCCTTCCCACTCCCGGTGGGCACATCCTGTTGATTGGATCCTGGGTTCCCTTCACGTTTCCCCAGTGACGTCACCGCAGGTCCCTGGCCAGAACTAAGCTTTCAGGAGGGTGTGTGGCGCTGCCTGGGGTCTGAGCACCGAGATAACCCGCTCTCTTCTTTCTGTTCGGGGCTATCCTCAGCCCCCCATTGTGCCCAAGGTCTCCGGGGACAGCGACACGTCCAACTTCGAATCCTACCCCGAGCAGGACAGGAACGACGTCACGCCCGTGGCCGATGAGGACCTAGAGACGTTCAAGGACTTCTGACCCCCAAGGTGAGGCTGCAGGGCCCTGTGAGGTAGCCTGGGCTAGCCTCGGACTGACCGTGTAGCCCAGGCAAATTTTGAATTCTGGCCCTGTAGCCCAGGCCAGCCTCAGGCTCAGCAGGTGTAACCCCGGGCTGGCCTGGAACTGACCATGCAGCCCAGGTTAGTTTTGAATTCTGACCATGCAGTGCAGGCTAGCCTCAGACTCTGAGCTTGCAGCCCAGGCTAGCCTCCAACGCTGACCATATGGCCCAGAATGACCGGGAAGGGCTCATCCTCAGGGTCCTGCCTCCTGCGCATTGACGACGTCGTGTGCGTGTGCAGACCCCCTGTAAGTGGAGTTACAGGACATTGAGCACCCCCTATGCGTGCTGAAGTTAGTCCCCCACAGGAGCACCCAGAGATCTTAAGTACCCGGCACACCCTCATTAAAGTCTTCTGGGTGGAGCAGAAGCACTTCATACAGCCATCGGTGCACATCAGGAGGGTGTGTTACACAGAGTGCAAGGATCTGGGGTCTAGCCTCCGATTCTGAGGCCGTCCCGACCATCTGGGCGGCTGGACACCGAGGGTGTGTTAAGGCCACGCACCCTAAACGTTGTCCTGGGTAGTGACCGAGATGTCAGAGGGGCGGGTGGGGGCGAGATGACGGCTCGCCTGAACTAGACGTATGACGTCAGAGGACCGCACGGCTAAACGCAAGGTTTCATGATGTTGTAAGATGACGACAGGGCTGACAAGGTTGTAGGACGTGTGGGATGACGACGCGACTGCACTGGGAACTCTGGGAAGCTGGGGGTGTGGATAGACTGGAATACTTGCAGAGAAACCTTTCGTGACCTGTAAGAGGACGTCACCACCTGCTCCTCGCTAGGAACTCTGGGATTTTTACCTGCTGCGGCTGATGTCGGAGACTTCCGACTCCTCGCCTGAGCGGTGGCGTCACAGCCCACGGTGCTTCCGATGCTTGCACACCGCACGGTGGGCCTGCACCTGCGCAGACCAAGCCGAGCGTCCTGGAGTCAGGAAGTGGAAACCTGCCATGGAGGACGTCCAGACGGTTGCTTGTGTGTTCTGATCGTGGACCGAACTGGACTTTATACATTCAAGCTGGAGGACTCGGTGATAAGCACTTGCCTGTGGACGGACTCACTGATAATCACCCACGTGGCTGTGCGTCCTGTTTTGTTTCTTTGGTTTTCAGCAAGATTTTCCCGAGTACAGTTCTGTACCCACCGAGCTACAAGCAACATCCAAAGTAGAGTTTCAGGAGGTTGCACCCCCACCGCGTGGGTGCTGGGAACAGAACTCGGTCCTTTGCACCCGCACAACCTACTGTGCGAAGAGCCGAACGAGGCCACTGCCGCACAAGCGTCCGCGTCTCAAGTTTGTCCGTCTCAGCCCCAATCAGTGCCTGGATTCTATTTTTCTTTCTTTTTAACTCATCTATGACGTCGCCACGTCGTGACGTCACCTGCCTGAATTCTACTGATTTTTAAGAACTGCGATGTGGCCTCGCTGTGATGTCACCTGCCTGGATTTTATTTATTGTTGAAATCTCCGATATGACGTCACCACCTCAGGTCATCACCGCTCCGTGACGTCACATGTGCCTCTGACGTGATTTGCCTCTGACCTTTGTGACATTTTGAACTATGACTCAACGGCCGAGCACTGTTCTCAAACAACCCCGACGCGGAGCACTTCAGGCTGTCTCTGCTTCCTGAAGTCCCCGCTCCCTGACGTCACGACCGCACGCCCCACGTGCCTGTGTGATGTGGTTTCCCTCTGTGTTTTTCTGAGGTCTGAACCAAGACTTGGGCAAGCACTGTTCACAAACGACCCGGCACAGAGCACTTCAGGCCAAGTCACCCCACAGGAGATAATGACATCATCACTACTCAGCCGCCTGCGTGGACATCACTTTCAGGAGGATGTCCTGCGGGGCGAACGGTCGGCGGTCGGCGGCTCCGTCCACGGCCTCTGGCTTCTCGGGTAGATATCTGAGCTCTAGCCTTGGTGCGAGGATGGCCCCACCGGGATGGTTTGTATAGGGACTCAGCCCAGCACCCTGCAGTGCCTCCTGGGTTTCCGGAGGATGTGTCTGCACGATGGGATCACTGTGACGTGTCTGCAGGATGGAATCACTGTGACGTGTCTGCACGGTGGGATCACTGTGACGTGTCTGCACGGTGGGATCACTGTGACGTGTGAACACTTCCAGCACTGTCTGCCCCAGGCCCTTGTTTGCTAATTTATGCTCTGATGCTCCTAATAGTAAAACTCTGTACTCGGCCGAGCACTGTTCTCAAACAACCCCGACGCGGAGCACTTCAGGCTGTCTCTGCTTCCTGAAGTCCCCGCTCCCTGACGTCACGACCGCACGCCCCACGTGCCTGTGTGATGTGGTTTCCCTCTGTGTTTTTGTGAGGTCTGAACCACGACTTGGGCAAGCACTGTTCACAAACAACCTGGCACAGAGCACTTCAGGCCAAGTCACCCCACAGCAGATAATGACATCATCACTACTCAGCCGCCTGCGTGGACATCACTTTCAGGAGGATGTCCTGCGGGGCGAACGGTCTGCGGTCGGCGGCTCCGTCCATGGCCTCTGGCTTCTCGGGTAGATATCTGAGCTCTAGCCTGGGTGCGAGGATGGCCCCACCGGGATGGTTTGTATAGGGACTCAGCCCAGCACCCTGCAGTGCCTCCTGGGTTTCCGGAGGATGTGTCTGCACGATGGGATCACTGTGACGTGTCTGCAGGATGGAATCACTGTGACGTGTCTGCACGGTGGGATCACTGTGACGTGTGAACACTTCCAGCACTGTCTGCCCCAGGCCCTTGTTTGCTAATTTATGCTCTGATGCTCCTAATAGTAAAACTCTGTACTTCCAGGAGGCCGTTTCCTGTCCCTACTTCCGCTTCCGGGAAGGCTGCACTCTGCTTCCTGGGACTAAAACATCCTGGAAAAAGAACAGTTTGGGGAACAAAGGGCTTACTTCGGGTTTTGATTCTAGAAAAATGCCACAGCCCACCACGTTGGTGGGGGAAGGAGGTGGAATACCAGGACAACTTCAGGCCAAGTCACCCCACAGCAGATAATGACATCATCACTACTCAGCCGCCTGCGTGGACATCACTTTCAGGAGGATGTCCTGCGGGGCGAACGGTCTGCGGTCGGCGGCTCCGTCCATGGCCTCTGGCTTCTCGGGTAGATATCTGAGCTCTAGCCTG